GCAAAGTTGCAACTTTTTGGCTTCTTGAAAGCGCAAGGAAGGTGAAAGGTTTAGGAAAAGTGAGCAAGTGGGGATTGTGTGCTCAGTCGCATTACAAAATACGCAATTCTTGATAGGGCTAGTAGTAACGAACGATTGGTTACGACTAATTTTTCTACTTATCACCTGTTTTGAAGAGCCTGCAGTGATGGTAGTAACGCTTTCCAAGATTCGCACTCTCCTTTCCAAAAAAGCGGCAACGAGATCCCACGAAGGCAAATTTTGAGTTGGAGCTTCTTCTTCCCATTTCGCTTGGGTGCTAGTATCTGCCTTGCTTATAACTAAATGCGTAAGCAAACCATCTAACAACTCTTCATTTGTAGCAATAGTTTGTAATGCACGCAGATGACTGCTGATCTTGTCGCTGAGCTCCCGCAAGCAAACGGCCGAACCATCAGGCACCTTCTTCAACCCGAAAATGTCTTTGATGTGAGCCTGAAATTGAACTCTCTTAATGTCATATCGTACCTTTAATAATTTTACCGCCTTTTCGTAGTTTTCCGCACTGATTTCCAACGAGCGGATAGCATCCAATGCGACGCCGGATAGACATGACCTCAAGTGCTGAAACTTCTCGATGTTCGTCAACACCGGTTCTTGATCGACGATGACATGAAACATGGCCCAAAAGTCTGGCCACTCTGTGGTTACTCCGCGAAATCGGGGTAACTGCAAAACCGGCAAGCGCGATTTAATTGTACACGACGACGTGTGCACGCCTGGCTCGTCTATCATAGAATGCTTTCGCGTAGATGATCTAGCACATGAGATCGAGCGTGTGCCAAGTATCTTGGTTATGCTTGCCTTTATGGATACGTATGCCTCCGAAAATTGCATCCTTGCTTCGCTTTCGATTTCCGTTACGTCTTCCCTCTCAAGTTGCGACTGGGTTTCTTCGAATTGCGTTTGAAGCCTTTCGAGCTGCTCTAATTGCACCGCCAAAGTTGATTCATCAAGGTGTTGAAAGTTGTTCCCGTCCGCTTTGACCTTCAGTATGCTGATTTGTTTCAGGAACCATACACTTTTTCTTTTCAAGAACATGTCGCTTGAACTCTCTTCTAGATCGCTTGTATCACGCCTTTTGTGCGGTTTTGGCATTTTACTTTACTTCAACTTGGAGTCGGTTGCTTCCAAAAGGAAATGCCACGGGGTGTATCCAGCAACAAGTGCACTGCTACCTAATGCGTGCCTTCGTACGCTTGTAAAAACGAAATATGCGACGCAATTTTTAGCACTAACTATTGTGCCGCTGCCAAACGCGCGTTTGTGCACCTAGCTCACCAACGGGATGAGGAGATCGCGATCACAAATGCACTGCTGCTAATTGTGCTTACGTTGCCCCTGACTGAAGGTCAAACGAGACTTCCAAGGAGGGCCGAATATGTAAATTGCTGGACTCGCGCCTTCAAATGCTGAGCAATGAGTAGTTTATAAGCGATGATTAAATGCGATTGAACGACAGTTTTTTGATAAGCATCAAATGGAATGCGATAATTTGATGCGGGGTATTCGAAAACGCTGCTTTACTGTGCGAACAATTACTAATCGCTTAGTTAAGCGAGAAACGAAAAAACGTGAGAGTATCACGTCGGGGTCACCAAATGTTCGGAGATGGCAAGCGTTTTTGCCACCTATTAATAAAAGCCAAGAAAATGATAAGGCGCGCGGCTATTCTAGCTGACTACTGATCTCGAACTTCCTCTTTTATTTTAGGTTTAGCTGAATTTATACTATTACACAGAATTACAGTGTACTGTTTTTTAACTTTGAACCTGTGCATGTACATACATGTTTTGTTATTGCGAACAAACTTCCGCATATCGGTTCGCTTAGCAACTAGGTAACTAATTATTGTAGTACATAAGCGGCAATAAAATGTAACAAACAGCTAGGTAACTATTTATAACTTATAGTACATAAGCGACAATAGAATATGCATGGCAAACCAACTTGAACGGACTGCAGCGAAAGTGATGTAAAGGCAAATCATGATGAGCAGACCTAGCGGACACCTTTAACCTTTAGGTGAGCGGGCACCCTTTAACCTCTAGGTGAGCGCAGCAGGATTGCTACGTTAACCCTTGGACATCCTCCCCCCGTTGAGAGCCTTGAGAGCTTTTAACGTCATCCACTGGCAGTAGGCATAGCTTTGTGATTGCCCGTCGAGTGACGCCAGTGCTAGTCTTGATGATAGCAACGCGAACCACATCATCCTTTCCTTTGACCGTATCGATGACTCGTCCCATTTTCCACTTCATGGGTGGATTGTTGTCATCCTGTATTAGGACTAGTGCATTGGGTGGAATGTTTGGTGTTTTCGTACGCCACTTTCCGCGCTCTTGCAACAGCGTTAGGGAGGCCGTGCTCCGTGACCTCCAAAAGGATTGTTGTATGCGACAAGTTTGCTGCCACCGACCTAAACGACTAAGTTCGATATTTGACAAGTCGGGCTCCGCTATGGCTGTGAGTGCCCCACCAGAAAGAAAATGGGCCGGAGTCAAAACGTCCAAGTCCTCTGGGCTTTCTGAAATGGGACAAAGAGGTCTGGAATATATAATAGCAGTGATTTGACACACAAGTGTCCTTAATTCTTCGAAGCCGAGAACGATAGAGCCAATTGCTCTGCGAAGATGATATTTTGCGGCCTTTACTGCGGCCTCCCAAAGGCCGCCAAAATGAGGCGATCGCGGTGGTATGAAGCGCCAGTCGATGCCGTCGTCAAGGCATTGTTTGCGAACTTTGCTAGTGTGTTGTTCACTAAGCAGCAGCGCACGAATCTCTTTCAGCTCATTTTTCGCGCCGACGAAATTAGTGGCGTTATCTGACCAGATAACCCTAGGTTTCCCACGCAAACAAGTGAATCGTTTTAGTGCGGCTAAGAACGAGTCCGTGGACAGGTCTCTGACTAACTCCAAATGAGTAGCCTTTGTTGCGAAACATATAAACACGCAAATGTAACATTTCGTAGCTGGCCTATTCCGCACTTCCGCCTTGCAGCTGAATGGGCCGCAAAAGTCTATTCCAGTGGTGTAGAATGGGCGTTGAATCTGTACTCGCTCGGCTGGTAGATTACCCATAATGTGCCGCATGACTATCGGTTTGGTACGAAAACATCGCACGCATTTATTGAGTACACCAGCCACGTTTTTTCTTCCTCCAATTGGCCAATACTGCAACCGAATGGTTGCAAGCAGCGCTTGAGGCCCAGCATGTAACAGCTTCAGGTGAAAATGCTCAATGATGCTGTTTGTGAGTGGGTGATGCCTTGGTAGCACGATGGGGTGCTTTGCGTTGAAACTAAGTGCTGCATTCTGAAGACGCCCACCAACCCGTATTAGCCCAGTATTGTCTAGAAATGGGTTCAGTGAGCTTATCTTGCTTGAAGAACTGACTACGCGCCCAGCCTTCAGTTCGCTGTATTCGAGGCTCTTGACAGCTCTTTGGACCATACGAAGGAGCAAGTGAGTTCCTGCTTCAATTTCTTCTAGACTTAGTTGAGAAGATCCCCATCGATTGTTGGACTTAATTTTTAAGAAACAATTAATGTAGGCATAAATTCTTTGCATCGAACGAAAATTATTTATGTATTTGCAATTAGTTGAATAGTCGATGACTTTGGATGAGGCAATCAACATAGTCTTCTTCTTTTCTAGTGATGTGTAGTCTACTTGCCTCATTTGGGGCCATCTGGATTCATCCTCCTTTAGATAAGCGGGACCTTCCTTCCATAGTGTGGATGCATCAAGTTCCTTGGGCGAGGCTCCTTTCGACAAGATGTCTGCTGGATTGAGTTCGGTGGGAACATGCCTCCACGACATACCTTGAGTTAGTTCTTGGATGCTGCTGATCCGATTGGCAACAAAGACGTTGAAATTGGCGGCTACGTCACTTACCCACGAGAGGGTGATGGTGGAGTCTGACCAGCAGAAGAATTCACCCTTGAACGGACCCAAACCTTGAATGGAATGTAACAATTCGGCTAACAGCATTGCAGCGCACAACTCTAATTTCGGAATCGTGAGCGTTTTTAAAGGTGCAACGCGAGATTTGGAGCAGAGCAACGTCGCTCGAACCTCGCCGCCAGATTGCGCTCGAATGTAAGCGCAGGCTCCATAGGCTGCCATGCTGGCATCGCAGAATCCGTGTATTTGAATGTTATCTGCATCAAGTCCAACAAAACGGGGGAAGCTAATTTTTTCAACAAAGCTTAGATTTGCGCAGAGTCGATTCCAGGCGAAGTGCAATGACTGAGGAATGCTTTCATCCCAGGCTAGTTTATCCTTCCACAGACTTTGCAAAAACACCTTAGCCTTTAGCACAATGGGGCCAATGAGACCAAGCGGATCATAAAACCTAGCAGTTACCGACAACACGTTGCGCTTCGTGGCCCGCAATGATTCAGGAAGTGGATCCCAGAGGAAGAGTAGACGATCGCTTTTAGGCTCCCATGCCAGCCCTAGCGCCTTGGTAATGTCGCTGCCGTCACCGAACTTCAAAAATTGCTCACGATGCGCTGGGTCGACATTTTTCAAAATGCTGGCGCTGTTTGAGCACCACTTTCTTAAGACGAAATTCCCCCTTTTTAAAAGCTGTTCCGTCTGCGTCATTATTTGCACAACTTCATCTTCAGATCTACCACCTGATATTAAATCATCGACATAGAAATCGCGGGAGACAATTTCTGAACCGAGGGGGTAGTTGCTCGCCTCATCAATTGCAAGCTGCTGCATTGCCCGTATGGCCAGAAACGCAGCGGGCTTAGTACCATACGTGACGGTGTCGAGTTTGTAAATCTTGAATTCTTGATCGGGCTTGTCGCGCCATAATATGCATTGCAGAAAACTATCAGATTTAGATATCTTAACGCAGCGATACATTTTGCAAATGTCGGCCGTTAAGGCGAATTTATGAGAGCGAAATCTTAACAGAGTATCAATCAATTTGGGTTGTATTGTAGGACCCGAAATCAAAATGTCGTTTAATGAGAATCCGGAGCTGGTGGGAGCAGACGCATCGAAGACTACGCGCAATTTTGTGGTGGAGCTTTCTGCCTTCAATACGCAATGATGAGGTAAGAAGTTGGTGCGCACTCCAGTAGGAATAACTTCTACCAGAGACATATGCTCGAGCTGAGCATATTCAGTTACGAACGCAGAGTATTGCTTCTTTAAATCAGGTTTATGTGCGAATCTTTTCTCGAGATTTTGGAATCGACGAACTGCTTGCAAATAAGAGTCGCCTAATTGCGAAGGGCTTGATTTAAAGGGCAAACTAACTGAATATTCTCCTGAGCTCACTCGACGATAATTGTTGTTGAAGTGTTCCTCACAAGCCAAGTCCTCTTTAGTTCGTTTTACATTTTCAGTAGTGTGACCTTCTACCTCCCAAAACCGCTTGACTAAATCATTCAGGGTGCAGTCTATTCCGTCAGATGCGGACTCCTCAACAGCAACTGCGCAGTGCCCGGATTTAGGGGAGGTCAAATCGAAATTACCTGATACGACCCAACCTAGTCTCGTTTTTTTGCAGTACCGGCAGGTTTTTGCTCAGGCGAATTTGTCCCACGCATAGCAGGTCGACAAACAGACTTGCTCCGATCAAAAGATCAATTTTCTGGGGCTTGAAGAAGAATGGATCTGCTAAGGAGATATTTGCTGGAATTTTCCAGTCGAAGTGCGAAAAGTTTGTTTCCGGCTGATATGTGGTTATAGTTGGCACAACCACGGCTGAAATAGATGTTTCACATGTTCGATCGACGGATCGCAATATCGTAGTTGCACTCTCACTCGAGAATATGTCTGACTGCCCAATTCCCGAAATGTGAGTAGTGGCCTTAGATTTCTTAATTTGCAGCTGGTTGGCCATGTTTGCCGTTATGCAGTGAAGTTGCGAGGCGGAGTCAAGTAAGGCTCTACACGGTACGAAAGTACCTTGACGACTTTTTAACATCACAATGGCAGTGGCTAACATAGTTACTCCCTTGGGGGATGGGTGAAAAGTTTGCTTGGAGTCAGCGACAAGGGCTGCTTTGGCGCCGGAGGGCGCACTCATGTTTTGCGAAATCGCTTGCGAAGGTTGCGATAAATGAAGAAGTGTGTTGTGCTTAGCGGAGCACTGTTTTCAGTTGCTGGACTTACAATTTTTAACCATGTGTCCCTTTTTTAGACAATTGAGGCAAAGTTGCAACTTTTTGGCTTCTTGAAAGCGCAAGGAAGGTGAAA